GGATCACAGGGGCTTGGCGGATCACAGGAGCTTGGCGGATCACAGGGGCTTGGATCACAGGGGCTTGGATCACAGGGGCTTGGCGGATCACAGGGGCTTGGCGGATCACAGGGGCTTGGCGGATCACAGGAGCTTGGCGGATCACAGGGGCTTGGATCACAGGGGCTTGGATCACAGGGGCTTGGCGGATCACAGGGGCTTGGCGGATCACAGGGGCTTGGCGGATCACAGGGGCTTGGCTCAGGATAGGAGAACACACAGGAGGCTTCACCACTCTCTTTGCTGGATGAGCTCCCCTCAGCACTCCCCACACAGCCCTCTGCCCTCCGCTTGCCCTTTTCTGACCGAGAACTTACCACCCTTCCATTACAGCAGAGCAAGGAGCACATTTTTACTAAATCTACATAAATATGCTACCCTGTGAGATAATATTACTGGTCCTTTGAGCCCTTCTGATCTGGATGGCGCTGCACATGGAAGTTCTTGTCTATTTTGCCTAACACCTGGGCAGTGAGCAAAGCAGGGATCCTTTTTCATCCTCTTTTCTACACATAAGCTGCACCCAGCCCCTCCCCCCGCAAAAAAAAAAAAAAACCCAGAACAAGCAAACTAAACAAAACAACCCTCCAGGGATCCTGACCATGCGACTTAAAACACCCATCTACAACTGAACTATTAAAGCCATAGAAACAGAAAAGTCCTGAGTGCAGGCTGCCGTTGTGGTTCTTTGGGTTCTTTGATTGTTTGTGATGGTGCTTGGGATTGAACCCAGGGACTCTCACATGCCAGGTGAGCTCTCTATCTCTGAGCTATGTTCCCCAGGCTTCTTTTCACTTTTCATTTTGAGATGAGGTCCTTCTCACTTGTTCATGTTGACCATGACCTTGTGATCTTCGAGCTACAACCCTTTAAGTAGCCTGGGAACCTGGGCTTGAACCCCAATGTCCAGCTGAGCAGGAGGAATCTTAACTCAAACGCCCACAGTTGTTGGCAGTCAGATACATTAGCGGGCTTTGTACCCATCAGTACAAATGAGCAGCGGCGGTCCCCACAACTCTTATTGTCTCTTGGGAGAAATCAAACCTCTCAGCTCTGAATTATAACCAGAAGCCCTCGGGCACCATTTATTATAGAGCTTTTCTCATAGTCGGCTCCGTGTGTTGGCTCCCAGACTCTACACTCTGCCTTATCCACACCCACACGTGGTGCTTCTGCAGGATCAACCCAACACTCACCGACCCAGGCAACTTACGTGGCCTGGAGACCAACTTTTTCAAATGGAACAGGAAAAAAAAAAACCATAATGATCAAATCACCTTTTTGTCAATATTACGGAACTTGCTCAGACACTCTGTTTTAAATAAACAAGAGCAGATGCTGCAACCAGACAGAAACCACCGTGCTTGTGCGCTGAGGGGGTGGAGCCCAGCAGGTAGACAGAAAGGGGTGGTAGAGACTACCTCAAACACGGGGGAGACCTGTACCCAAAGCTTGCTGTCATTAACCTACTCTGTGGTGACAGTCTGTGGAGGGAAGGGAAGGGGAGGCCTCCTTTTGCTTGCTTTCTTGCTGGCTTGTTTGAAGCCAACCCTCCTGCTGTTCTAGGGAAAGGCTTTACCTGTGAGGACATTTTGTTTTGTTCTTTAAGTGTTCCAATTTCTTCCCTAGTAAGGGTCAGAAAAAGCCTGCTGCCTTCACAGATTCCTGAGTCTCTCAGCAGCTTGCTTCTGTGCAGGCCTGTCTTCAGTCCTTACGTGGATGGCGGGAGGTATGCTCATAGAAACACTCAGGTGGTGTCTGAAGTATCCTCAAAGCCATGGATTAAAGTTTCTTCCTCACAGTGATTATCATGGAATGGTAGAGTTTAGTGTGTCTGTACACACGTGTGTGCATGCATGTGTGTGTGCGTGCGTGCGAGTGCACACGCACACACGCATATGCATGCACATTCCACGGTGTGTCTGTATGGGACAACTTGTATGAGTCATTGACTCTTCCCACCACTCTCTCCTCCACTCAACCAGCCCTGGAGATGGAACTTGGGGCCTCAGGCTCCGTGGCATGTGCCCCTACCCACTGTGCCATCTCACAGGGTCCCTAATCATGTGTCTATTAATGATAGGGATCTTTCTAAGAAACACATCATAAAGTTCTGGCACTGTGAGAATATTGTAGGGACAGTTACATAAACCTGGACGGTAGACAGTGTTACGCTACATCCATAGGCTAATGGTCCATAGGCTAATGGTTCATAGGCTAATGGTCTATAGGCTAATGGTTCATAGGCACATAGGCATATAGGCACATAAGACTGTATGGCCTCACCCAGTGTTCCTCAGCCACAGACCGACACATGAAGCTACTGTAATGACTACTGTAGTGTTCTACTGTAACCCAACAGTGAGCACAGGTGTGTCTCAACATGTCTACACAACTCACCAGTGCAAGGAATCAGCACGTCATAGATGAGGACAGCGTGATTGTGGTGATGCCACCGGACAGGGACGATTCAATGACACATTGCATTTGAACACGTGATGCTCTGGTGTGACCACTACCATACTCGTGGTTCACTATCAACCAACATGTGGCCACATGATGGACACAAATTCCATAAAACCAACCAGGCCTATCTTGGTTGCCTTCTCTGTGGCTAGGAGAGGAACACTTGAAATTCATACTTCCTCTGTTTAAATGTGACAGGTGGCTTACTATAATTATTATTCCTGTCGAAGCTCAATGATAGTTAGAGATCCCTGAGGGACAACGGGCAACTTTCAGTCCTCGTCAATTAGTTACTATGAGCAAGGCTGCCTGCACCCCGGGTAACAGAGCACACTCACAGTATTACCACAGAGAGGTAATACAGAGGCTCCAGACCCCTCCTAAGGAGGTGGACCTGCGGATGAGGAGCCTGAACAAATGGCCTGACATTTCACGGAATTAAAATAAGCTGCTTAAAGCTGGGAGATTCAAGGGAAGTCACAGGAACGGCTGCCGCACATCCCAGTGATTGGCAAGTGCAAATGAGAATGCTGATCATTATTTTGCACTGTGGTTTATTATGACATGCGGCTGCCAAAAATCAAAGTCAAGGCCCAGCAGAAAACAGCTACCAGCTGCATAATCCTCTCCCATTTAGCTGTTCCACCCACAGCCGTGTCTCTGATTAGCTGGAAGCCCGAGAATGGAGGCTAGGTTAAATCATAAGAGGGTTAAAGTATTGGCTGAAATTGAAATGTCACACACTGTTGGGGGAGGGGAGCACTAGCAAAGACTTGGTTATTTCCTGGGAGCACTCCAGTGTCCTAAAGACCCACGATACATTGGAGAATGATGGTCTCTGAGACCAGGCTTCCGGAAGCTGAGTGGCACACTTGCCTGGCATGGAAGAGGTTGGCATAGCAACTCTGGATTGGCCACAGTGAGTCACAGAGCTCACAGACACACAAAATAGCCACCTGAATGAGCCTAGTCTCCACAGGGAGGATAAGCTGCACAAAGCATCTCTCAAGGTTTTTCTCTTGGCAAACACAAGCTTTTGGTCTAGTGACTGAAGACAGATCGTTTGCTGAATGAACACAGTGTCCATGATTCGAGAAGAGATTTATTCTCTGTATGTTTCCTATGTAAATAAGGTTATGTTCAGGCAGAAGTGAGGTATTCATACCTGACCATAGACAAAATTCTCTGTGAGCTACAAATGATGTACCCCAAATAAACTTTTGGTGGTTGCTTTTTAAATAAATGCATTCACTAGGAAAAAGTTGTTTACCTTTTGGCAGTAGGTCCCTGGAAATCTGGATCATACCTCCTTGGGTCACCTGTATTTAAAAAAAAGATCTTTTTAAGTATAGAAGCCAAAGAAGCAGCAAAAAAATTAATATAAAATATTATCAAGGAAAGACCTTCTTCTTGGCTGGCTCATTATTCTGTGCAATGCTAAATCCTTCATTGTCCATTGAAATGACAGGTGTACCCTGGTCACACTTGTCAAGATCTTGTCTTCTCTCCAGTGAGAGGCAAGACCACAGGCGCCACATTCTCCATATGTTGTGAAAATAACCTCCTGCGGAGAGCATCAACCCTGAAGATGTGTTGGGGAGAGCAAATCTCCCTTCAAAGCTGTTCAACAATCCTGACATCTGCCATGGCCCAGTGTCGCTGAAGACCTGTGAGGTGCACATCCCAACTGGAGTTGCTACGTATCCAGCTCTTCCTTCTTCTTAGTAGCCAGTCTTCTTGCTTTCACTCAAGAAGTGCAGTTATCAGTCTTTGCAGACTTCTGCCCTATTGGCTGTATACTGTAGGTTTCTTTAAAGATCTACAGGCAGACACTGCTGTACTACGGTGGTGCTACAATACTCCTGTCCTTGCCCTTTGGCCTTTGGACAAAGGAATGGCCTTTGTAACAAGTTATAGTACCATGTTCCATAAAATTTCCTCTGGCCAAAGGCCTGCAGTTGTAAACTCCAACCACAGGGCTTCTCCCTGTGTTCCAACCTCTTCCTCTAGACATTTGGGTTTATTACAAAATTGGTCCTGAATCAAAGACAGGTTCTTAGATGCATAGAGGAAAGCCTTCTGGGTGTCAGCACTAGTTTCACAAAGTTTCACAAAGTGGGAAAGCACACTGAAGAATGCAGAGGCCTCTGTGGGTGAGTGTACACAGGTCAGGGAAGCAAAGGCATAGATTTGCAATGGAAATCCAGGAGCCAAGCAGCCTATAAATACATACAAACCATCTGTGATACACAGAGAGGTCTGAGGAGGTCCAGGAGGTGTGTAAGGCATGGTTGGTCTTCATCTTAGAGAGCAGAGTCTGCATACTGATGCATTCAGCAAGGCCAGGTCTACTTACACTTTAACAAGGAGTACTTCATATAAAAAAAAAATCAATGAGATACTAAGTCTCATGGTCTGAATGTTTACATCCATCATTCCTATTGGTAACACTTGACACAACAGTACCAAAGCATGGGTCCCAAAGCCAGTATAGCCCAGTGTTCCTCAGTCCCTGTTCTCAGAAATCAAAACCATTAAGGCTGTGGGGAGGGGTTAGTGAGCCCTGTTAGAATGTGACTAAGTAATAGGGGAATCATAGATTGAATGGTAGCCATCGCCCCACCCCAGGCAACAGATGCAAAGAGCTACCTGGCCTTTACAAAGCCCTCTCATCTGGCATGTTAAGATACCATGTTCTCTGTGCTGCTGCCTCCCACTATGGGAAGACACAACAAAAAAACACTGCCTTAGAAGGAGACAGCTGCCATGTCAAATCTGCCGGTGCCTCGATCTTGGATTCTGAGGCTTCTAAACTGTACGAAATAAACTCTGTTGTCAGAAACTACAAAGTATCAAGCCAAAAGTATTTGTTAGAACAGAAGCAGACTTAAGTGTGGCAACAACCTTAAATGCATGCATGTGTGCATGCGTGTGTGCATGTGCGTATCCATGGAGAGGAGTGGCAACTCAATGAGTATCTGTTGTGTGCTTTGTGTGGCCAGCGATGAGAGCAGATGTGAGTTACTGCCACAGCACAGGAGTGATAGAGAAGAAGGAATGTGAGATTCAAGTTCACGAAGTGTAGGGATGTAGCGTAGAGGTTGGGCTTGGGACTCTGAAGCAGCTCGCTGCTGCTCACGAGTGGGTAACTCTAGCTAGATCATGTCACTTTTCAATTCTTTGTGTCCATATTCCTAAATGAGATGAATGCTGTATCTATCCTATAAGTTAACACGAGGGTAAACTAGCACTGGTCCAGTGATTAGAACAGTTTGTGAATCTTAGTAAGCTGCGTGAATGCTTGTTAGAAATGCTATAATCACATTTCAAGGATAACCTATTAAATGTTACTATTTGGAAGGTAAAAGACATATAATATAGCAAAGATGATCCCAAATAAAGTGATTCCAGGTTCTCTAGAATCTCTGCTTTCTTTTGCTCAACTCAATTTCTCTACACTTATATAGTTTGTGAGTCCCTGCCTAGGGAATGGTGCTTCCCACTGTGGGTTGAGTTTTCTCACATGCCTACAGGCCAACAACAAACAGGCAATCACCCTTTGAGACTCTCTTACCAGGTGGTTTAGGTTATATCAAGGTGACACTACTTTCTGGAACCTATAATCCTTTATCATTCTTGTCTCATACTAGGTTTAAAGAAAGCTGATTTAAAAAAAAATATTACTGCTGCTGTTAAGACAAGATCACTCTACAAGTATAATCACTTGTAAAGTAGATCTAAGACAGAATATATAAATGTTGTTTGGATCTCTTTGAGGGTGAAGTGGCACTTGGCTAAGTGTTCAACATGAAAACTAGAGTCTGCAGGAAACATTCCAGAGAAAGAGTCAAAAAGAACATAAGAGCCAGAGGATGAGGAGGAAAGCCATGAAATGCTGTCTCTGGACATGACTGGTCCATTGCACACATCGCACACTGCAGCTGTGGTTAGCTGCCCCAAACAGGTACAAGATCAAGCCAGTTATTCTATCATGGGTAGAAGAAGGGTTTACAAGGCTCTACTCCCAACTGAGAAACTCTTAACATTTGATGACTGTTGGGGGGGATTGTTTATCTTTGAGAGTGTGGCCATGAGTATGTTTCTCATACTCCAGTAGATGCATGTTGTACAGGCAGCACTAATTGTATTTAGTGGTGCATATGTATGTGTATGAGTGTGTGAGCATGTGGGCCACACATGTTGGAGGAAATATTGCAGAAGTCTAGGAGGTATTAAGGGGTGAGATGAGGAATTATGATCATAGTACATTATATATATATATATATGTATATGTATATGTATATGTATATGTATATGTATATGTATATGTATGTATGTAAAAAGTTTTAAAGAATAACTTTTAAAAGTGTTTTAAATTTCAGATTTGAAAGGAATAGTTTAAAATCTCTTAAACAATGTTTTACAATACAATAATGCTTTATATCAATGGATTGTATGTTGAAATGATGATGTTTAGTTTATACTGGATTAAGTAAACTGTAGCACTAAAATTCAAAAAGAAAATGAAAACTGTAGTCTTGAAAAAGAACATAGCCCTGAGAAAATTAGAAGTTATAGCATTTGTGTCAAGGAAAGAGAGAAAACTCTAAAAAGTGTCTTCTCAGATCTGTCGTGTATATGGCACTGTTACTATGGCAATAATATCATCTCACACGAGTTTAGCATAAAATGCCACACTCTTTGGAATGCTTTACTAATTATTTTGTCTAGGTTGTCAGCAGACTCTAGGTGTGTTGGAAATTATCATTTACTTCACTTTATAGATGTAGACAATGAGGCACAGAGAGATTAAGGACCATGTCCCCGGTGACAGAGTTGATGAATGATCCACCTGAAGTCAACTCACTGCCCATTTAATGGTAGTCAAACTGCCCCCAGGGTCCCATGGTACAAGACAAACTCCAATGAGAAGACTGTAAAGTGTTTCCTGGTGGAGCTGGTTTCCATGCACTTCAATATCAGGTTTTGATTCATTACCAGCTTCTCTTATTTGAGCTACTGGTATAGTTGCCTCAGTAGATAGTTTTGGGAGTGTCTGTATATTCCTTTATCTGGAAACTAAGTCCCTGTGTCACAGTGCACAGAAGCAGCTCTCTAATGCTGCTTCTTCCTTCTGCCTGCTCCCAGGACATGGGCAACTTGGTCTGGTTTGAACTCATGGGTGAATTGGGCTGGTTACATTCTCTATCCCAGGAAGGTAGCATTAGAATAGATAGAGTGAGCAGGAAATGAGGCCTATAAGATATAAATCTTAGCAATGAGAGATTTAGAGAGATCTGTCATCTGGAGCTAGCAAGATAGCTGAGTGAATAAAGATGCTTGCTGCCAGTTAAGCCTAATGACCTGAGTTTGAGTTCCAGAACTCACATGGTGATGGAGAAAATCAGTTCTAGAAAACTACCCTCTGAGGGTTTACAAGCACAACATGGCATGTGCCTCCCCAGCACTGCATAAACATAAATATGAAAATAAATAAGTGAAGGCATTAATTTTTTAAAAGAGAGAGAAATCTATTCGTTGGCAAGAAAGAGCTGAAGGATATTCAGATAGAACAGTGGAGCTGGAAGACTGGCTAGCCTAGCCCACCCGAGAATGAGGTTGAGTCTCACCAGGCATATGGCAGAGCCTTGCTGAGTTTCACCTTTCATGCTTGTGTATGTGTGTGTGATAGTGAAATCCTAGGCAAGTGATATTCTACTAAATGATATCTTCAGACCTCCATTCCTCTCTTTTAACTAGCTCAAGCTGAAAAAACAGTATTCAAGAAAGTCCAGGAAGGATGATCTTAAATTCTCATTTTAAAAATTAAGTGTTAGCTGGGCAGTAGTGGCACATGACTTTAATCACAGCACTTGTGAGGTAAAGGCAGGCGGATTTCTGAGTTTGAGGCCAGCCTGGTCTACAGAGTGAGTTAAAGGACAGCCAGAGCTATACAGAGAAACCCTGTCTCAAAAAACAAAAAACAACAACAACAAAAAATTAAGTATTCATTTCTATCTAGACCACTAAGCACTTGATGCTTCAATGTCCCACTCCACAGTGTTCAGATAGAACAAAATGTGAACCTTGCGCTGTATAGCCCTTCTTTACTTAATGCTCCCATATTTCTGTGAAACATCCCTTTACCGTCATGCCATTTTTTTAAGTGAAAATAAATGAGGCACAGAAGAGCATGCTGATATACTCTAGCTCACTCAGATATCAACAGGTAAAAGAGGATGCAAAGGTAGACCAGTTGGCTGTCAACCACAGGAGATCTTTAATAGATAGAAAGAAAAATTAGATTGAAAGCTGTTAA